TTTTTTTGGGAGGGTGGATTTTTTAAAATTTTGTACGATAATCCCACAAATTTAACATGGCTAGCAGCAAAGCGACCGCGAGGCTCGTTGCTCGTAATTCAAAAGGTGTGAATGAACGCGAAACCAAACACGCGAGCGCACTCGCGCAGACACACGCGGCCACAGCTGACAACGGAGTATCTGAGACGCTCACACGTTGACGAGACAGCACTCATTAACGCGGTTGACAACGCAGCGCAACGCAGCGCCTCTTAGTCGGCTCCCACCGTGCGTAGTAAGTAGAGCAGTGCGCAGAGCGCGGCGACGAGAATAAATAAACAAACACATGATGAATAAATGCATGAAGACAAACAAACGGAAACCGCCCTTGCTCAAAACCTTGCACGGCGGCGTACGGAACGTTCTCGGAGCAACGGAACCCGAGCACGGCGCGGCCCGCCCGTTCCCCGACGACCTTCAAAGCCCCCCGGACTGCGGCATCGCGAAACTTTGCGCATCGCTCCAAGACATGGGAAAAAAAAGAAAGACTCGATCCGTCGGTCACGTCCGCGCCTCAACAAAGGAGCCCGCCGCTGCCCTTTCATTTCCCCCCCCCCCCACCCCCATCCCTCTGGTACGTGCCAGCTGAAGCAATGGACAGGATGCTTGCGAAGCGGTGCCACCCCACCCACCACCTAACAGCCCACCCCGGCACATTGGCAGCTCGTTGAAGCAAGCGGAGTCGATCAATGATCTCGTGGCCAGCCGCTCGCGAAATGTGCCACCCGCCACATCCACGACCTCGTCCGATCTGGGAATCTTTTGGAGGGTTTTGCGCTTCGTGAAGTGCTTAGGACAGGGGTGGAGAGACTGTCTGGGAATGCCAGGAGCTGCAGGGCTTTGGATGCACGGTGGCCTGGAGACGGCAAATGGATTCTTGGATCTGTCTGTGCAGAGCTTTGAGCGTTATCCAGTTGTAAGCGCGTGTTTAATTTGGATATTCCATTTTCACCGCACCTTCTAAGCACTGAATAGATTATGCCAAACATTCCAATGCAGGACTCTTATGAAACAATATTGAGACTCAATGAGGCATTGCCAGGAATCAATGCATATATTATTATCATCATCACCTGTCATGAATGTCATCATCATTGTTGAATCAACGTCGTCTGGTGTATAATTTGTAGAAACACATGTAAAATACATGACGCTAACAGGTAAAGGTGGCGCGCTGCTATTTATTTCTCACGCCACTGCTGGCGGAAGGACCGCCACTATGGAGGCGAACCCGAGAGGGTATTTGGCCTACTCCTCCACGTTAACCAGAGGCGGTTTTTGGAAGAGGGTTAGGAGCACCCACACTTTTGCCCCCAGCACACGTGACCTGCCGATCCGACTACCTGTGGCGAAAGTCATTAACACTGCTGGGTGGACACAGGCGGTTGGGGGTGGGCTGGAGGGGTGGTACTTACGAAACTTCCCCCCCACCCCCCCCCCACACTTCATTGTTTCAATTACCATGCCGGGAGATCGAAATGCGAACAGCCCACCCCTGGATTGCAAGCCCAGTGTGGAATGGCACCCAGAAGCCGGCGATGACGGAGAAGACGCACAGCCAGAGGACGGTGGTCATGGAAGTGCGACAGAAGTCCAACAGCGGATTTGGGGCGCCGCGCCGGCGAGACGTCGACCACCTCGCCTGGCATGCAGCAGGAGGCCGTGGGTTCGATCCCGACCCTGACGCCTGTGTGTTTGGAGTTTGCGTGTCTCTCCCCGTGGTCGCGTGGAATCTCCTCCGGGTCCTTCCGGTTTTTCCCTCCACATCAGCGCGTTTAAGAGTATTCGGCTGCAATGCATTTCCACGTGACGAGCCACTACGTTGAGCGATACTTTGTGGCCTGGTCACTTCCGAAAAAGAGCTCCGTAGCTCCGTGGGTCTACCCTAGTAACGTAAATAATAGTTCATTAGATTGTTTACTGGAACTAAAGACAGTCCACGGGGCCACATTGTGGACTCTAAATGCAGACATTGGAGGTTGGGTGCCAAATGTGAAATCGACCTGGGATCTGGCAGAAGGAAAGGAGCGATGGCAAAGCTAAGGCAAGTTGCGGTGGCATCAATGTTATTGGTCGTGATGACCTTGTGTACCTTGGCCTCGACTAATGTCGAAAAATTTGATCACGTAAGCTGTTTAAACATGTATGTCATCAAACGTGAATACATACAATCACACCCACTGGTTAGAGTGGGGCGATATGCAACTGAGTATGAATACCAGTAAGAAAAATATGACGGTTTTATATACCGGAAAAATAAACTAAAATATATATCACATGTACGTCTACGGAGGAGATGGATCAATGACATCAGCTTGTGTGCACGTGCGAGGTGAATTATTACATCGGAGGATCGTTAGAGAGATGACGGAGGCTTTGTGGGAGCCTTCATCCAGCAGTAAATTGACCATGGTTGCTGCTGCTGCTGATGACAAGTTTCCCATATAGCTCATCGAGGTGCTTACATTGTATTGTGGAAAAAAAATCTACGGATTGTTTGTTGTTGTTGTTGTATTAAAGACACTGCAGAGTTGCACTGCCACGCATGGACAACAACACCCCAGCTGCGTGCTGTCTTATTTACCGAAACCAACTTGCGGAGATGCCACCTGTTAAAATTGGCGTAGGCAAGGGCCCTAACGCACACAGTGCACAGATGCAAAACATTCTCCGTCTCGCCCACCCACCCACCCTCCCAGCAACCCACATGCCCAGCAACCCACATCCCCACCCCATCGCGCCCATGTAATTACTACCGGCATAATTTTCTCTCATGCGACCGTGGGCTTCATTAAAACGTCAGGACTTTGGAGAGAGAGAGAGCCCACGTGAGTTTGATGTGCAGCATCCTTCGGCCGTTAACGACAAATTGATTTCTCCGACTTTATGGCGGCTGCCACCCTGCAAGCTGTTACATGCTCGTCAATCAATCACAGGCCCATGCTGAGCTCCATTCACCGCTGACTTTGAAACACTTAATTAGAAGTTAATTTAATACATGTAAAGGGAGCGCGTTTTTAAAGTTTTGTGTGTGTGTGTGGGGACAGGGGATTTTCACACACACACGCGCAATGCTTTTTGCATTTGATCGTATTTTTTTAAAAAATATGTGTTTATATTTTACTTATGGTGCATGCACAGTCTCGCCAATGAGCCGATTTGTCTCGCCCAATAGCGTTGACGGCTCGCCTCTTCCCATCTCGCCACTTGAGCGATGCATGGGACCAGTGGGCCCCCGCTCTGCACGTGCACTCAACAACCAGAGGCAGCAGCGACTCGATGAAGGGCGCTGAATTAAAATCTGCATCGCTCAAGATTAAACGTGAGGATCAAAGACAGCGATAACGGCTGCTCAGACCGCACGCATAGATAACGGCAAATGTCGAGATCAACGTTCAAAGCGTAGATAGCGAAAGGATGCTTTCCCTTTTGGAAATAATGAACACTTACGAAAGCAATTTACAACCCATCGTCAATCCGCTGCTGGTTGAAGGCACTCTCGACGCCGTGCCGGTCGTAGGAGCCGTTTATCCATACTTCACCGTGAGAGTTCGTGAAGGATGGTTCAGATAGCACTTGCAGCTGACTGACTGTAGCCGTGGCCAAATCACTTTGCTGGGTTCATAGCTCTGTGCTTCCACCCCCCAACCCCACCACCTCTACCACCCTGGGACGTATTATCAGTAGCCCATGAGGCTACACGAGGAATCTTTGATTGTGTGTGCAGATGCATGCATGGGTGTGTGTGTGGGGCAGGGATGGGAGGGGGCAGCAAAGCGAAAACTTTCCCGTGATTGTTGGCCACCGTGATTGTTAACCTTGCCCTGTGATCCCACCCCACTTCGGGCCGTCCCACAATTGTGGCGTGCGCAGTGGCGCATCGGATGCTCCCCTTTGCACGACATCAGCCACGCGCGGACTGCGAAACTCACTCCGAAACGTGGAGGAGAAATGAAGACGAAAGCACATCCCCATCGTTCCACCGGAAAAAAAAGCAATGCCAAATCGAGATAAAACTAAATATCTGCATTCTAATATTTTCCCGTACACAACCGCAGTTGGCCATTTATCCCTAGAAAAAAATGGTCATTGTAAGATACAAAAAAAAAGAAGCAGTACATTTCGATATTGTGATTAAATAGCAGCCGTGAAAACATAGTGTATTAAAATGATCAAATACATTACTTTGAGCCATGGGTGATGCATCTTCCTCGACGTTAGGCAAGGAAAATGCTAGAAACTCGAAAAACATTACTTCACAGTTCAAGCCCAGACAACTCATTTAATTAACAGCCGGCTCCTGGCAGGAAATTGTCAGTGGGAGTTTCTCTTCGTGAGGGACCTGATTGCACCGAGGGGGCAAGGCAAAGGTGCTTTTCAATAAGCTCAGAGTGAAGGAACTGCTCAGCTTAATTACCTGATAGTAGCAGTTTTATGCCAATCAAGGCACGGACACTTCCCCTTGGATGAGTTTAATATATTAGCGGCAATAAACGCCTGTAATCCAGGGTTGATGGATCACACCAGGCTTTTAAAAAAACATGAATTTGAAGCTGATATTACGACGCATCGTGCTAACAACGACACCCCTTCTCCACACACAAAGACAAAGATCCCCCCATACATCCTAATTGCCTAAGGGGCCCAATGCTCTTAGTGAGCATCTATTAAGGCAAGCAGGGCTTGCAAGGAAGTGCCATGGCACTCCACCCTTAATTTCCTTGATGCTAATATTTACACACTTATATCGGATTCCCCTCTATGGCTGAATAAACCTGGAAGACACCTAGGACAGGTTCAGATACCACTTGGCCTTGACATGAAATGCTTTTATGCATGTTGAACTTCATTTGCACCGTACGAAGCCAACCGTGATTGCTGCATTCGAGGGAAGTGAGCTAACCCATCACTTCACACCCACACACACACGCAGGATGAACTATGTGGGTGCATGTGCGCACCTGCATTGAGGCCTCTGTGTTGTCGAACTCCAGATGGCTCTGGTCTCGCGCTGGATCTCTCTGCTCCTCGAACGCTGGGCCTGGATGTCCCTTGCTCTCCGCTCCGCCGTCTCGAGTTGGGGTCACCACAGCATCGTCTCCTCTGTCTCTTGACTCGTGTGACAATCCTCGGACACTTCCAGGGGTTTGAGGCCGACTAGAGATGCCACTGGGATGATGGGACAGTCCAATTGGATTACTAGGGGTGGCAGGTCTACTGCTTGTGGAGGTTCTAGTTTGGTGAGATGTTGGACAATTACTGGTAGGAGTCTGTGGTCTACTTTTATTGGTACCAGGCTTCTGAAACGGCTCACTGCCACTATTCGGAGTTTGAGGCCTACTAGACTTACCAATGGGATGATGGGACAGTACACTCTGATTATCATAAGTGGCAGGACTGCCATCTGTCATATTTCTAGCCTGCTGTTGCGTTTCATAATCATTGATAGGTGGTTGTGGTGAACTTCTGTCGATATCAGCGTGTTTAAATGCCTCACGCTCATTACTAGGAGTTTGAGGCCTACTCGGCCTGCCAACTGGACATTGGGATAGCTCACTGTTATTAGCAGGAGACTGGGGTCTGCTACTTGCAGTATTCATAGTGTCTTGAGATGTTAAAACACCACTGATAGGCGTCTGGGGCCTACTTTTGCTGCGACCAATCTGCTGAAATGCCTCACTCCTAATGTTAGGCGATTGAGGCCTACTAGGATTGCCGCTCGGCTGTTTGGTCCCTCCACTCTGACTAATGGGGGTCTGTGGCCTACTTGTTTTGGGATGTGGCCTTTGGAATGTCTCATTATCACTCGGATGGGTGTCTGGCCTGCACCCTAAAATCGGAGATTGTGCAGATGTTTCCCGGTGACTGTTGGGGGTTTGTGGACTACTTGAATGGATCACAGACTGGTGGAAGGGCTCACTCTGACTAATGGGAGTTGATGACCAAAACTTATTGCTAGTCAATTCTTGGGATGACTCACTCTGATTAACAGGGGTCGGTGGCCTGCTGCCTCTAATTCTCGATTGTTGTGATGTACCACACTCATAAGCAGGGGTATTAGGTCTACTGTTGTCGGTAATGGGCTGGTGGAACGCCTCACTATGTTTTGTTGGGGTGTGTGGCCTGCTGCTTTGATTTCTGGAAGTCTGGGATATTCCACTCTGGGGTCTACTGCTATGCTTACTAAGCTGCTCAAACAAATCACTGCGGTTGCTAGGAGAGAGAGGCCTAATCAAATCTTTAGCACTAGCAGGTACGTTCCCTGTTGCACTCAACGGATTTTTATTTGGTTCATTTGCAAAACTCCGAGGCCTGTTTCTCCGTGTTTTAATTGAAGACGCACTGGAAGTTTTGTTTCTTGGCTCCGGGAAGAGCTTCTTAATCTCCAGGAATGGCATCTCATTTCTGGCTCCTACACCACTACCTGCTGATAACTGCGTGGGCCTAGCTGTACCGCCGTGCAACCCTTTCCGTGACCGTCCTCCATCAAAGTCCCGTCGATCTTCCCCGCAAAGCGACTTTGCCTTGACGTGCTTGGCCCTGGGAAGGTCGCTCTTCACCATGGGGCTGCCAGGAGACGAAGCGGGGCGTGATCGGGAAACGCCTTCCCACTCAGGACCTGGCAGGGGGCTACGGGGGACTTGCTGTGTCTGCATGGTAATGGTATCACTGACACGAGAGGCCCACGGTTCGGTTTGTCCATCGATGGTGAAATGTGGCGCTCTAGCGGAGTGGTCGGTGACACGGGAAGTGTCTCCCTCTATATCCCAGATGGGATGTCTCTGCAAAGGAGGAGAGACAAGCATGTGAATTAATATTGACCTTCGGAAGCTTCAGAATAGATTGTGGATTAAGCACCATGGATTTATGAGGCTAAACATATGACATACAGTGAGGGAAACTAGTATTTGATCCTCTGCTGATTTTGTACGTTTGCCCACTGACAAAGAAATGATCAGTCTATAATTTTAATGGTAGGTTGATTTGAACAGTGAGAGACAGAATAACAACAAAAAAATCCAGAAAAAGTATTTAATCCCTCTGCAAAACATGACTTAATACTTGGTGGCAAAACCCTTGTTGGCAATCACAGAGGTCAGACGTTTCTTGTAGTTGGCCACCAGGTTTGCACACATCTCAGGAGGGATTTTGTCCCACTCCTCTTTGCAGATGTTTTCCACGTCAATAAGGTTTCGAGGCTGACATTTGGCAACTCGAACCTTCAGCTCCCTCCACAGATTTTCTTTGGGATTAAGGTTTGGAGACTGGCTAGGCCACTCCAGGACCTTAATGTGCTTCTTCTTGAGCCACTCCGTTGTTGCCTTGGCCGTGTGTTTTGGGTCATTGTCATGCTGGAATACCTATCCACGACCCATTTTCAATGCCATGGCTGAGGGAAAGAGGTTCTCACCCAAGATTTAACGGTACATGGCCCCGTCCATCGTCCCTTTGATGCGGTGAAGTTGCCCTGTCCCCTTAGCAGAAAAACACCCCCAAAGCATAATGTTTCCACCTCCATGTTTGACGGTGGGGATGGTGTTCTTGGGGTCATAGGCAGCATTCCTCCTCCTCCAAACACGGCGAGTTGAGTTGATGCCAAAGAGCTCCATTTTGGTCTCATCTGACCACAACACTTTCACCCAGTTGTCCTCTGAATCATTCAGATGTTCATTGGTAAACTTCAGACAGGCATGTATGTGCTTTCTTGAGCAGGGGGACCTTGCAGGGGCACTGCAGGATTTTAGTCCTTCACGGCATAGTGTGTTACCAATTGTTTTCTTGGTGACTATGGTCCCAGCTGCCTTGAGATCATTAACAAGATCCTCCCGTGAAGTTCTGGACTGATTCCTCACCGTTCTCATGATCATTGCAACTCCACGAGGTGAGATCTTACGTGGAGCCCCAGGCCGAGGGAGATTGACAGTTCTTTTGTGTTTCTTCCATTTGCGAATAATCGCACCAACTGTTGTCACCTTCTCACCAAGCTGCTTGGCAATGGTCTTGTAGCCCATTCCAGCCTTGTGTAGGTCACAATCTTGTCCCTGACATCCTTGGAGAGCTCTTTGGTCTTGGCCATAGTGAAGCATTTGGAATCTGATTGATTTATTGCTTCTGTGGACAGGTGTCTTTTATACAGGTAACAAGCTGAGATTAGGAGCACTCCCTTTAAGAGTGTGCTCCTAATCTCAGCTCGTTACCTGTATAAAAGACACCTGGGAGCCAGCAATCTTTCTGATTGAGGGTCAAATACTTTTCTCTCGTTAAAATGCAAATCAATTTATAACATTTTTGACATGTGCTTTTCTGGATATTGTTGTTGTTATTCTGTCTCTCACTGTTCAAATAAACCTACCATTAAAATTATAAACTGATCATTTCTTTGTCAGTGGGCAAACGTACAAAATCAGCAGGGGATCAAATACTTTTTTCCCTCACTGTATGTGTATAACTCCATTATGAATGAGGTGGCGTAGGGTTGCCACCTGTCTGGGTTTGACCTGGCCACTCCAGGAATTGGAATCTGTGTATCGTGGGAGGAATTGTTTCGCACCAAGTACCGGTGAGATTGCGTTGCACTTTATTACAGTACCTCCGATTGTCACGGTTGACTACTTACAGCGCGGAAGAAGTTCAACATACATATGTATACCGCACAGTTCTGAAAGACTTAGTTTTTACTGAGAAATATATCCTGGTTTTAGTCGAGAGTGGAATAGGTGGAAATAAACGTTAAAACAGAATGAAGCGTGGTCACTGAATGGTCAGCTGTCGAACTGTCAAGATGGCGGCAGCGGCGTGTGTAGCAGCGTGTGAGTTGTTTTGCGTGAGTGTAAACTGTGCGTGAGATTGTGTGAAAATGTGAGTGAGAATGAGCTGTGTGTGAGCTGCGTGTGAGTGTGTGAGAGTGAGCTATGTGAGGGTGAGCCGTATGAGAGTGAGACGTGTGAGCCGTGTGAGAGTGGCCGTGACGAGAGGGACTTCTGCGTTCGTGTGTGTGTGATGATGTGGTGATGTGCGCTCGTGCGTGCACCTGGCGCAGCCTGAGTGAGGCCTAGTTAATCGTGCACCTGACTCAGCCTGAGTGAAGCCTAGTTAATAGTGCACGTGGCACAGCCTGAGTGAGGCCTAGTTAATCATACACGTGGCGCAGCCTGAGGCCTAGTTAATCGCGCACACGGCGCAGCCTGAGTGAGGCCTAGTTAATAGTGCAACGGACCACAAGCTGTGTTACTGCCAAGGCAACATTGCGATGGACCACGAGCTGTGTTCCTGCCAAGGCGGCATTGCCACGGACCCCAAGCTGTGTTCCTGCCAAGGCAACATTGCCACGGACCCCAAGCTGTGTTCCTGCCAAGGCAACATTGCCACGGACCCGAAGCTGTGTTCCTGCCAAGGCGGCATTGCCATGGACCCCAAGCTGTGTTCCTGCCAAGGCAACATTGCCACGGACCCCAAGCTGTGTTCCTGCTAAGGCAACATTGCCGTGGACCCCAACCTGTGTTCCTGCCAAGGCAACATTGCCACGGACCCCAAGCTGTGTTCCTGCCAAGGCAACATTGCCACGGACCCGAAGCTGTGTCCCTGCCAAGGCGGCATTGCCACGGACCCCAAGCTGTGTTCCTGCCAAGGCAACATTGCCACGGACCCCAAGCTGTGTTCCTGCCAAGGCAACATTGCCACGGACCCCAAGCTGTGTTCCTGCCAAGGCAACATTGCCGTGGACCCCAAGCTGTGTTCTTGCTGTGTTCCTGCCAAGGCAACATTGCCACGGACTCCAAGCTGTATTCCTGCTAAGGCAACATTGCCGTGGACCCCAACCTGTGTTCCTGCCAAGGAAACATTGCCACGGACCCCAGGCTGTGTTCCTGCCAAGGCAACATTGCCACGGACTCCAAGCTGTGTTCCTGCCAAGGCAACATTGCCATGGATCCCAAGCTGTGTTCCTGCCAAGGCAACATTGCCACGGACCCCAGGCTGTGTGCCTGCCAGGGCAGCATTGCCACGGACCCCAGGCTGTGTGCCTGCCAGGGCAACATTGCCATGGATCCCAAGCTGTGTTCCTGCCAAGGCAACATTGCGACGGATCCCAAGCTGTGTTCCTGCCAAGGCAACATTGCCATGGACCCCAACCTTGTTACTGCCAAGGCAACATTGCGACGGATCCCAAGCTGTGTTCCTGGAAAACTTCACGGAGATCGTCAAGACGGCCAAGGGTGGTGAATGAAGAGACCCCTGTGTGGGCTTCAGTGGGGCCGTCTGGTCGGGCAGCAGAGACACGAGAGGCCAAGAAACGACATTCCAGTCGTGGGCTGAGCTCAAGGAGGGCTAGCTCGAGCACCATCCTGCGGCGGGGAAAGGAGGCGGTGCAAGCGGTTCAGCCGAGCCCACCACAGCCAAGAATCTGTTTGGGGGGCGCTGTTCAACCCTAGCACATGGGTGAGAAGCCGTGCATGTGTGACGAGTGCGGCAAGACGTTTTCTTGCGCTCGGCCTACAAGTATATATTTTTTCTTTTCCACTGGTGTGTTAATCTGTGTTTACCCCGGATATATTAGAGATGGCAATTCTCCTGCTGTGTATCCTACTGCTGTCCGTCCCGGCCATATTTAGTGCCACACTCAACACTACAAACAGCTACCCTCGTTACTTTGCGTCCATACTTGTTGCTCGATTTTCCACTACACCTGCAAATGAAACAGCTCATAGACACTTCTACACTCCATCATTGTATGCTTTTAAACCCTATCTTTGTCCCATTACTTCACCAGCACTCCTTCCAAACTTCATTCTGCTCTTTAAAATAACACCATCTGCGAGCTACTGCTATTCGTCCAAGGTTCGCCACTCTTCATCCTTTCATAGAAAATACTTGTGCAAAATATGAATTCTACTTTTCTTATTTCTGGGTGGTATTGAGCTTCATCCTGGCCCAAATGAAAATAACTCGTATAATTCCGTAGATTTTTTTCTGGCAGGAAAGGTGTTGGTGTTCTACATGTCAACATCAGAGGGCTTGTGATTAAATTAAGTCAACTAAAACTAGAAGTGGCAAATCTTGACCGGACATTTTTTGCCTAACAGAAACATTTCTCACTCCTGCCGTCAATGACTTGCAGATTTTGATTGACAACTACAACCTTTTTCGGCTTGACCGAGGATCTAAAGGAGGTGGATTTGCCATCTATGTTCGTAATACTATTCCATGTTCACTAGCTCACTCCTTGTTTAAAAAATGTTGCTTTGAAGGTCGGGCTCTCAGAATAACTCTCCCAAATAATCAACAGATATTGGTAGTGTGCTGCTATCGACCGCCTTGTGGGAAGGATGTTGAAGCTGCATCTGCAATGAGAGAGCTTTTTGGGGGCCTCCCTAAAGGTGAAATAGTTTTAGTGGGTGATATAAATTGGAATTGGCTAAACACGCTGGCCGTGGCCACATTTTGCAGATTAATTTAAGCTGTTTCAATTAATAAATGTCCCCACAAAACCCAACCTAAAAAAATCCGGGACAGTCATATTTGCTTGATGTCCTATTGACAAATGCCCCTCACAATTTCACACTGACTGGTGTTCTGGGTAATAACCTTCGTGATCACTCCTTCATTTTTGGTGTGAGATCATCAGCCAGACCCAAAGCCCCCCCTAATTTGGTTGAGAAGCACTCTATGAGACACTTCAGCACTCAGGCATATACTAATGATGTGCTTCACTCGTATATTGACAAGGTCTGTGATATCCCAACCTGACTACGGCTTGTGAGACCTTCAGGTACACGTTTCTCCAAATTCTTAACAAACATGCTCCGTTGGTTAGATTTAAAACTAAAGGCAACCGTTCACCATGGTTTGATCCTTTGATTACAAACTCATGAAAACTAGGGACAAGGCTTGGGCATGTGCTCAGAAAAGTAATTTGGTCAATGACTAGCTAGAATACAGGATTTTAAGGAATAGATGCGTCAAAAAAATACGGCATGCAAAAAATGCCTACTTTTCCTCCACTCTCCTGGAATCACATGGAAATGCCAGGATTTTCTGGAAAACAATCAAATGTATCGAAAAGGCATCCAAAATAGACAATCTGCCCGTTGAGCTAAACCGAAATGGGGAATAAGTTTCAGATCCCAAAAAAATAGTTGACAATTTTAACCTTAATTTTTCTGAAGCTGGTAATATTTTTGATAATGTATTGGGGGTCACCCCTGCTCATGCGAATTCCTACACCCTGTCCAAACATTAAACGAATTTAGTTTCCAGCCAATCCACGAAAGTAATGTTCTGAAACAACTGTCCTACCTCAATGGGTCCTCCTCTACTGGAGCAGATAGTATTCCCTTCTTTGCTCTACTAACTGTTGGTCACCTAATATACAAACCTATAGCCCATATTTTCAACCTGTCCATCAAAGAAGCATCAGTTCCTCTAGAATGGAAACATTCCTATGTCCGTCCACTTCACAAAGGGGGCCCTAAAGATGATCCCAATAGCTACCGACCTATCTCAATTTTGTCCCCATTGATGAAAAATTATTGAACTACCAAATTAGCAGTTTCCTGTCCACCAACAATCTACTACATCTAAAACAATCTGGGTTCCGAAAAAAATACAGCACCACATCTGCTGCATTAGACTCTCTGAATCAAATTTACAGTAGCCTTGATAATAACCAGTACTGTGCCTGTCTTTTTCTAAACCTGTCCAAAGCTTTTGATACAGTAGACCACAACACCCTGCTTAGTAAACTAAGTTGCCTCGGTTTTTCCGAAAACACAGTAAAATTGTTACAAAATTACCTCTTTTCTCGCACCCAAACTGTATTCACAGATGGTTGGAGGTCAAACAGTGTTAAGATAACAAAAGGGGTCCCACAGGGTTCCATCCTCGGCCCCCTTTTGTTCTCTCTTTATGTCAATGACTTGGGCACTGACCTGGATCATTCCAGGGTAAATCTTTTTGCAGATGACACGATACTGATTACTGCTGGCCGCTCTTCGGATGACGTGATTGCTAAGCTACAGGGTGATTTCAACAAACTACAACATGAGCTAGTTGCTCTTAAACTAGTTCTGAATACCTCCAAAATCAAGGTGCTATGCTTCTCACTAGGACAAAAGCAGGAAGTTATTTTCCTCCAATTACATTCGTTAAATAATTATCAAATAGAGCACGTCAAGATCTATAAGTATCTTGGGGTCATCCTGGATTCAAAACTGAATTTTGAAGATCACATTGATTATATTGGTAAAAAGACAAAAATATTAATTGGTTTTCTGTATCGACACAAGCACTACTTCCCCCCAATGTTCCGTTTGGAATTGATAAAAGCTACCATACTGCCTTTACTTGGCTACTGTGACATCGTGTATAAATCAGCCCCAAGTACTGTACTGAAGAAGCTTGATTCCATCTATCACTCAGCCTTAAGATTTACATTGAACTGCCCATATAGGACTCACCACTGTGATCTCTACATTGGATCAAACTTAACGTCTCTTAATGTTCGACGGCTTGTGCACCAGATCTTATTTTTTCACGATGTACTTCCAAAAAAATCCGCAGACTACCTGTTGGATCTCCTCACTGTTTCAAAGAACAAATTTTACATCAGGTCTTCGCTCATTTACCAGCTTCACATTTCCTATTACCGTACAAAAACTGGAGTAAGGGCCTTTGCTATTGATGCCCCCAGGGTCTGGAATGCTATTGCCAATAAACTGCAACTTGAATCGCTACCAATGAGATCTTCTCTCAAAACTGCTCTAGAGGAGTTGTACACCCCTAGCAGCCACTGCTATTCATTGGCGTAAAATAAAATAAAATGTTTTCGCTCCGGGTGACGCAGCAAAGTATTATCTGTATTTTGATTTAAAGGTGCATTGAAAAATAAGATACTCCGACTGATGCTTCTCTTGTTGTGGAGTAACTCATGCAGCCAGCTATGGCTCTAGGATTTGGTGTTACATGTTATTTATGTAGTTTATTGTAAAAATTCGGTGACAGTCCCTATGATCACTGTTACGTTGCAATTATGGCTTTATTTTTTGGTGATTTAGAAAACGTTTTTTGGTTTGGACATGTTTGTTTTGTTGTAGTACGGAGTTAGACTGATGGCCTTAATCTAAGTTTTCTTGTTGTTGTTGTTTGACTTGCATCCCACTGGGATTTTTTGCACACAGCGTTGGTGTACGGTGCTTTTTTCAGGAATATTTTGCTGTTTTTTTCATGGATTTTCTGTTTGCACAGTCACATAGTCACTTTAAGATGTTTTCTTGTTCGTATTTTTGTTTTTTGTTTGTTGTGGTTGCACCCGATTCAAGAGCCGAATGGCTCACAGGGCTATACCAAAATAAGTAAACTGAAAAACTTAGGCCACATCAAGGTCAAAATGTTTCAATAGGTTCCTGACAAAATCAGTTGAGTCACTGCACTGGGCGAGTGAAGGCTCTGGTTCCATCTCCACGGCACGGCGGTTCCAGGCAGAAACATTACCACATTTTATGTACTCTAGCCCCCGATGACTTTTATTCAGAGGCATGAAAACACTGCTGAAGAAATATTATTCCACAGCTCCCAAGCCAATACATGTGACTTGCCCAAAAGGTGCTGCCCCCATCATGTGACCTCTCACCCTGGCGTCTTACTGCTGCACAACTCAGATGCATCTCTTTGAGCGACTTATCCATTTCTTAAATCGTTTCCGCCCCAGTGTAACTTCTGAGTTTTAATCAAATATGCAGGCGCTGTTTGCAGAAAATACAGAACAATAATTGAAACAAAACAGAATCAGGAGGGGGCAGGGGGTGATGTAATAGGAAGGGTGCATACAGCGAGAGAGAGAGAGAAAAAAACACGTATATATAGAAAACAGGAGCATGTGTGCTTCCAGCGCTCATTTCCGCAGATCCCATGACGTTCTGTAACAGGGCAGGACCGGCGTCGTGTGGAGGGGACTTCAAAGCCCTCGCTTCCACAATGTGGCCATTCACGACTTTGGTGAGAACTCCATGGGGGAAAGCGGAGAAAGTGAGGGGGAGGGTGGGAGGAGGAGTACGGGGGGGGGGGTGGCGGATAGGGATCATGCGGTGGGGGGTGAATGGCAGGGAGGGGATCTCTGTGGCCAAGACGGCATGCGAAGGCCGTGAGAGCCCGGGTGAATGTCGGATGTGGCGCGGATGGGATGTTAAGCGAGGGCCTCGGCTCCGATACTCTCAAGGCCACGTTAGAGCGATGGAGGAAGCTATGCCTTTCTCTCGTTCACCCCGAGGATAACGGCAATGCTTTATTTAGCGATTGAAATGCCTCATTTACGCCGTACGCCCTACGTACGGGAAGCTCGATGTGTATCTTTTTCATCGATCCCACGCATTTTACAATTTCAACCCTTTTGCGAATTGATGGATGGTAACAATTCAGTGTTCTCATTAAATGCAAGAATTGATTATTTTTGTCTTATTTTTTTCCGTCTCCTTTATATGGCTCATATAGGCCCTGCCTTGTCCCACTCATCAATTCGCCTAACGGTGCCCTTTGTACATCTTTTGAATAAATTGTAAACAATATTCTTACGCGCACGATTTTATGCCTGTGTCATGAACAAAGAAATACCTCTTAGTAAATCCATCAATCGTTGAATGTTTGCGTTGATGGTTATGTAATGTATAGATCCAGGGGATCGAGTGGCGCCGGAACGGTTTGCACACAGCACCGCAAAACCAGGAGCCTGAGACCAATTAATGGCAACAGCTAACAATGAAAATGTTGAGCGATATCTGAACCCGTCCTGAGCTGTTCCCTTTACCAACCCACGCTGAGCATTGTAGCAAAATACGGTCAAAATGTTCCTGTGATAGACGTGACGTGGGGAGGCCCTCAATCCAGCAGTGGATTGACAAATGGCTGGATGTTTTTATTCGTACTATCTCACTCTCTCTCTCTCTGTGCCATGTTCCTTCTCAAAGACATCAGCGGTCGTGACATTTCTTCCATTAAGGTATAACCATATTACTCAAGAACTTCGCATTAGATACTCCCATTTAGATCCAATTGTTCAAATGGCTTTTGTACTTGATTCGCCGTCTTCCACAGCTTCTTAATACAATGCGACAGCCGCTCAACCAACTTACCTGGGCAATGTCATCCACTCATGTGTACCATCACGAAATATACGTTCATTCGGCATATGGACCTGCTGTGTATGAAATCCACTCGGCTTCGGACAGCAGAACAGAGCTTCCCATCTGCACCCACGGTAGTCTGAAATGGTCTGCCAACTGAAGTCGGCTTCAGCCGCGACAATCTCTGCTTTTAACACTGGGCTAAAAAACAATGGTTTTGTCTTCCGCTCCAGTTTATTGTAATTTTCTCAGTACCATCCGCCCTTCCATCCCAGCCTTTTGTCTCATATGGCGGCACGTTACAAAACTCGGATTGATTGATATGCATGCACGTGCTTCACACGGCTGATTCCACCAAACACCCTTTAAGTACAGGATTTTCACGGGCCTGTGCTTTACTAATTAGACTAATCTGAACATAATCGGCAAGCATAACTCACCGGGCCGGTGACTTGAGATGCACTTTCAAAGTCATCGCTTGACTCGTTCGCTAAATCCTCCACAATGGTGTCACCATCATCATCATCGTTGCCATGAGCACCTCTCTCATTGTCATCGATCCTGAACAGCCTGCTGACTGAATCGACCACAACAGATGGACGGGTGCATTGACACATGGAAATAGGCGAAAACAGACGGGCGGAGGAAAAATAGTTGGCACACTGGACTTGCAATCCAGAGGTCAGTGTCTCAAATCTCCCGACATGGGAGTTGAAACAACGGGTCCCCCCCACGCCACTGTCCAACCAGCAGTATACATCGACGTGCCACAGTTGATTGACAGGTCGTGTGTGGCGTGGCTTAAAAGTGTAGGGTGCAGGGCGGAGAAGAGCCCAGCCAGAAGCCAGCCAGGTAACTCGAGACATCGATGATTTTTAATAGCAGTAATGATTTTATCGATTAAATAAAAAAAGTGCAGGTTAGCCTTTTTGGAGAATCTCGTAATGACAGAGCTTCAGTCACATTTGGCTACGCGAAAAGTTCTAGTTCAGCAGGCAGTGTGGTTGGATACCAAATCCACCCGCCTCTCCACCACCATCAGAGAATAATACATTCCGCATGTATCCAGGTCTCTCAGATACGCGTCGTGGCTCCAGTTCAGGCTGGCAACACACTCCGCCGCGGGTTTTTTTTAAATTGCAGGTGACATGCGTAGGTGCAGTAGAGGATGTGCACCAGTGGGTGCTGGGGCTCTCATCAAGACACTTTCTCGCAGGAAGCCGTTGGCGAAGGTTGACAGACCCGCCCATGCCCGGACATCTGTGAAAAAGAGCCGGCAGCAACCACAGTCGACTGCAAAAATCTGAACCGGAATCTACGGCCTACCGCCTGCCGGAACAGGAGCCGCGGCTCACCACTGGGGCGGCAGGGAAGCTGCGTCGACTCACGTGTGTTGCTGACGGTGGCACAGGAAGGAGGGGGAGAGATGGATGGGGTGCTGGGCGTCGACTGGTCACCGTCTTCAAGAAACCTGCGGAGGGGGGGGGGGGGTGGGGTGGGGGGTGGTGCGACATGGATGAGTAGCCGATCGCTTCCTGCTCATTTTCAACGGTGTGTGCGGTTCGAGGCACAACGGCCGCCCCGGTTAATGCCGTGGCTTGCGCAAACCGCAGAAGTACTACGCGCTGTCTATTTAACGGTGGAGATTGAATCGTCCACGTGACGTTAAAGGGTCGGCCACGCGCGCATGCCGGTGTCAAGCTCCTAAACTTTCTAATCAAGCCTCGCAGGCGACATGAGCGGGTGATTAATTAATTAAATAGGAATAGGGTGCAGCTCAATTATGGCCACCTGTTTGCAACGGAAAGCAATGTTCATATTTTAATTGCTCACCCATCATTGGCATCATTAGCATATTTAAATAATCATCAAGATGACGGGGGGGCCCTTCACTTACCCATCTGTTACGTGCATCCCTCCTGCCTGCGTTCACCTGTCATTAAAACGGATTCGTTTTGGAATGTAATTTTAACGACACCGGTTAAATGATGGCGTTAATCAGGAGCTACTGGAACCAGCGGACGATCCTGGAGTCTCGTGCAAAAGAAAAATCCCTAAAATGTCCCATGACCTTGTCATTACAAAGTAAAACTCCTCCTATCTATGCTTCCTCTCATCTGCAAACCCTAACTGATTGGTGTCAACTTACAGATTCCACAGCCTTCCCAGGCTGTAGAATCTTCAGTGTCACGAAGACCTGAGTAGCTGTACTGAATAGAGGCAACCCTGCCCAGTCAAGTCCCCAGCGAAAGATGATATAAAATGTGCGCTCTTCACCATCCCGTACTGACCAGCGTGGTCAAGTACGGTCAACCCCCCCAACGCCCGCCTTGACTGATGCACCTAAACCATGGCTCCCGATCCTCCGGTGGCTCTGCATCCACCAGCCATGGCGTCGGCTGGGACAGTGAAGGAGCAGGTGGCGCTAAGAATTACTGGGAACGAACAGGGCGCCCTCTGGGCTCTACAATCGCTACGGACGACACACGCGGACTCTGTCTGGGGGTGAATCGAACCTGGTTGAAACTGCAAGAGGGATGGGCAGAAATAAACTGGGATGAAGTTGGACTGCATGACAGGATCGTGAGAGGTGGCGGCATCTTGGAGAGACCTTCATCCAGCAGTGGATTGACCATGGCTGATGGCGATGAAGCTATCTTTGCGCCGATTCTTCCTATTATCGGAGCTTTCACGCAGAGAAGAGCGGTGATGCAGAAGTGGTGCAATGTCTAAGAGAGAGGGCCGTTACCTATAAACCTTCGGCAAGCCTGACTGCTCATGAGATGCTGAACGTCGAAACTGGTCGAGAGTATGCTTGTATAAAACCGATGCTGTTGAAATAATTCACGGCCAGAAAGTCACACGGTCGATGGAACATGTACAAAAAAATGTTTTGTGTGTGAATAGATAATTGTGTTGCGGAGGTGTATTGCCTCCCTTTGTGCTGGTCGGCCTACGGACTCAGATGCCGCATTGTAAAGCATTTGCTGAGTAACAATATACGTTCAAGACCTTGGGCGCAGTGTATGCTTAGCAACAGCGAATGCCCCCCCCCCCCCCCCCACAATTCACTTGCCCAGGAGCCTCATTTTTAGGTGCGATGGGCAGAAAACTAGAAAAAAAAGCAGATTGTGGCATGAATTATTCATGAGACCTGGGGAATAAGAGAAATAAATAATATGCTGCAACATAAATAACGATTTCAGTGTATGAAGCGTACCATCAAATATGGCCTTGAGCTAACGGAGAAATGGAGGCATGGGGGTTTGGAGGGAGGGGGGGTCGTCAGGGGAAGGGGGAAGCTTCCCGTGTAACAGCTTTGCACTCGCAAAAAAAAATAGCTTCATGGCTCCTTGTGATTATGACCACGGGCAAGATGTGTTGGGTTGAGGAAAGTTAGGAAATTTGACAGCGGCGTACATCATGCCTTATTATTCAATCGACACTGATATTTATTTATAATCAAGGTGCCAAATAGTGATACTGAAAAGTATTCTAAATTTCATCCATCCGCCGTTCACCCTCCCCCATTATTTTTACAGTCGCATGCCGCCATTTCGAGCGCGACGAATCACTGAAATGTTTCAAGCGGCGTCAACTTGAGGAGCGGAATTTCACATGAGGGAGCGTGAATATGAACGGTCGCGTTAATTTTTTTACATCAGCTGAAATTGCCATCATACATCTGGCCCGGGATGGTTCATCGCTCGAGTGAGTGGCTGTTAATCGGAGAGGTTCTGAGTTTGAGTCCTGGTTGGTGGCGGTTGACTCAACCGATTATATCTGCCTGGCCAAATTAAAAAAATATATATACATCATGAGGAAGTCAACATTGATTGTTGTATGGGTAGACTTGCCCCAACCATACAAACGTGGAATTTCCACTGCTGGCTCTGCACTTTAAACTGGAAATGAGCAGCGTCTCAATGATCATTTGGGTAGAAACTCACTCCTAACTCACGATGCCATAATGAGATTTAGCATCATATATTCATCACGGATATAGCTACGCAGGTTTAACAGCCTCGCTGGCTAGAGCAACGGAAACGCGGTGTGTTGTTGTTGTTGTCGTGCTGAAGGTGGTGGTCATCGCGGTGTTGTTTGCCATTTGCGTCGGCAGGTCCTGCTGCGCATACCTGGTGCAGTGAGCGCACATGAGCAGAGTGGGTCGCGTCCTATTTCCGTCGCCCGCGTGAGTTCCCCCTCTGTGCAGAGCCGCGTGGGTGAAGCCCCTTGCGAGCCATTCGTCCAGGCCACCTGCAGCCCGGGGGAAAGGTGAACGCTGCGCCTCTTTATCTGCACCAACAGGGCGCACTTCTCACTCACTGCGTGAGGATCGTTCGTGGCGTGTCAGTCAAACGGGAAGTGTTTACGTTCGAGAGCCTGCAGAAGAAGGTCGATTTGGTGACCAACAAATATTTAATTAGACGTCGTTTTTCTTTCCGTGTCTGTTGTGTTTGCTATAATTTCTTATCGAGCTGAGACCATCGACTCACTGCAAGTTGAGAAAACAGTTTAATCACAGGCGGATGCCCAGATACAAATCCAGGAGGATCTCAGCAGTGCATGCCGCCCAGTGCTCTGAAGCACTGAGCCACCCCGGTAAGCATGCAACGTTGGGTGAAAGTTAGCATGCGATTGGAGCCATTAGCCCCACGTCGGTCGAACGTTGGGGCAATGATGGTCCACGTTTACTGGGACCTGGCCACCTATATGCAATCCCCATGTGATCCACGAACCCAACCTCTGAAATGCTAGGTTATAGGGAGTGCACCACAACTGCCTGGACAAATGCAGATGTCAAGTGACACAATGGAGCGCTGGTGTTGAAACAGAGACCTCAAAAACGTGACAACAGATGTTAAAGTAAAAGCATGCAACGTGTTTCGAGCATGGTAAATAACGTGATGGACCATTTCAAACAGAAAACATGGAATTTCATGGATTGTGTTGCAAACAATACTTTTCTTACCCGAGGCTCTCAAATGACTCAAAAGCCACCCGTTTAAAACATCCGCAAAAAAGTCCGTTTCAAAATCACTCTACTCCCACACGCAGCCACACTCAGTCAGCCACGCTCAGTGAGTCTACGTGTCAAGGCTGCACTTTGCACATTGCGAGCTAAACAATATATATAAAATAATTCTACCAGATAAGGCCCACTGAACTATAGAGCTCGTAGTAATAGGTTTTACCCTTTTAACTGGCACAAAAAACTGACACCTTTATTCAAGGCATCATGTCTGCAATAACCACAACACAAGCAGTCAAAATGCAAACAAAAAGACAACTCCGATAATAATATGCACGTACGCCTTTTGGCGTCTTCTGGTCTAACACCAGTGGAGACTAGGCTCTAAAGAAAGCCGTCTCGGGTGTGGACCAATCAAATTCAAGGACAGTGCATATTATTATCGGAGTTGTCTTTTTGTTTGCATTTTGACTGCTTGTGTTGTGGTTATTGCAGACATGATGCCTTGAATAAAGGTGTCAGTTTTTTGTGCTAGTTAAAAGGGTAAAACCTATTACTATAACTTGTTACTGGCAATGGAGGTCTCATAATGTAGAGCTCGTGTTCAGCAGCGATCTGGCTACAAATGATAGCTCAACGAAGTGGCTCATGATGTGGAAAGGTATAACAGCCAAAAACGGAAAAAAACACGAAGAAAAATCCACGCGACCACTTTTGAGAACATCCAAACTCCGAATATACAGACGGCAGGGTCGGGATGGAGCCCACGTTCTCCTGTATACCAGGTGAGGTAGTTAACACCTCGCCACCACGGCACCCTCTCGCCACCGTGGTACCCCACATTTCATTTCCTGAGCTACATTTGCGAGCTCGAATTCCACGCCTGCCATGCAGCACTCATTGATTCCCCATTTCAACGCCGATGTAAAGAGGACAGAGGCGCGGCCCCGCAATCCCTCGCTCGCATCACTGCCGGGCCGAAGGGGCCTCCACTCGAGGGAGCTCCGGACAGTCGCTCTACAGAGAGTCATTTTAGCCTCTTCTTCCACGCTGGTCCGACGTCTTGGAAGACGTGACAGTCACCCACACTTTACGCCATCGGACTGCGGCCGACGTCAAAAATCAACATCTCATACAGGACCATCGAACCTCCCGGGTTTCAACCTTCCACGCCGCCAATGATCGACCATCAACCGAATCGGGACCGGGCCACGTGGCCGATGCGGCCACCTGATGCACAAAGGGCGCCATCAAAGATTCGGCGGCCTGCGAGTGGTTTGGCCACGAATACCAAACCATCGATCCGCATCGTAAACACTCCGCAGCCGTCTTCTCTCCTTTAACGGAGGAACGGACGAGATCCACTCTGCTTCTGAACAGACAATTGATTGGATAACACATCTAAAATTACATCTTTAATCTGCTGCTATTAATCCATACGAAGTCAGACGACTCTACAGTATGCAGCCTGCCGTTTGGCAAACTGCGGTGTGCGCACGTGTACTGCTGGGTCGATAGGCGCCGTGGGGGGATTTAAGAAACTTGCCCCCCATTGTCTCAACTGCTACGCCGGGAGGTCAAATCGAACCGGCGACCTCTGGATCGCAAGTCCCGTGTCCAAGCCATGCCGCCACCGCTGTGGCGGCATCCCTCACGCTACCGTGTTATTTGTCAGCAATGAATTTCAGCAACGTAAACAGAGACCTCTCTAAAGCCTCATAGGATTCACTGGCAAGTGCTGTCAGTGAGTACCAATTGAGGCCAGCAACACGCGTGCCACGCCGCCTTTGTCTCCCAAGTGCCGATGCGGACCACACTACAAAAGGAAATTAAATGTAGGCTTTGTTCACCTAAGGAGGAGCTCAGGCGAAATTGAGGTTACAATTGTCATTGGTATCATGCACGTCGGAAACATTGCCCATTATATATATGTTTCCTTTTAAGGGCCACAGCGTTATTGATGAACACGTTCAGTTTTTTTGATCTGTTGTGCTTGCGCACCACTGCCAACGCGGGATAACCAAATAATGAGATATTTAAAATGCACAATCGTAGTAATATTGCAGGGCATGAACTGTCCCTCTATAATAGTCAAACCACAAGCATCCTTGGCAGAACAATCTCGAACGGCTTAATAACCTCGATATCCACATAGAACATTGCTAATTTCACCCTGCCATACGAAAGAAGGGAATAAGCATCCAAATGCACCCACGTGTCGCGCCAGCATTTCCTGCGATTGAAGAGCATTGCTTGCTCTGAGTTTCATTGTCCCCCTCCACCACCCCTCCACACATCCCCTCTCCGGCGTGCATCCGGGACGGTACCGCGAGTCGTTCGCCGTGGCGTCCGACGATCCGCTCCGCGTTCCTCGGAGATTTCCAGCAGGAGCCGAGTGAATCGTCGGACAAACTAAAACGAAACTTTTTTTTTCACCAGGTAAGGACCCACTGAGCCGTGTAGCTCTGTTTCAGAGGCGGGGCCTGGCCACAAGTGGCTTGTCGCGTGGACATTTGTAGCAGCAGCCAAAAACAAATCGTGCCGCACGACAACGGGGCGGTACAACCACCGACAACACGTCGGGAGAGAGGGCGGTCGCCGGTGAAAGTCTGAACAAAAAATTGGGAAAGTAATGAAACGCGTCGCGTTTTTTTCTTTTTTCTCTCTCTCTCTCTCATTTTGTTTTGTTTTACCGTTGAGCCACTTTCTACCCGCGTCTCACAAAGCTGTCACCACCGCCGGCCTGCGTGCGCTACGCGTCAACGTCTCTGACACCGCCGAGGGGGACCGCGCCCGGAGGCGCCGTTGCCCGTGCCGCTGGGACGCAATTGCAGCGAGGCGAGCGGCAACACTCCTGAAAGAGCAACGGCGACTATCCCAGGGACGACTGACAGAGAGACGGCTGTGGCGGAAATACCCACGCTAACATCTCCGTGACACTCACAAGGGGAGGTGGGGGTGGGGGGGGGTGGGGAACAAAGCAACCTAAAAAAATGTATAATGAGCAAACGTAACAAGTTAAAGAGAAAAAAAAATAATGAGGAAAGGCAATTAACTTGAGGTGGCTCTCACTCGTTGGTCCTTTCGGGAAAGTCACGTAGAAATAAAAAGAAAATAAATAATTACGCTTCAAATAAAGTTCGAAGTGGCTCGTTAATATCCGGAGGGTGGTGCCATTGTTGGAGCACTGAGCCACGAGTACTTAGACCACAGGTTTCTTTATAGGCGACTGCCTGCTGTTTGAACATTGATAGCCCTATGGTTAGACCAGTCCCTGCCATACGATTGTGGAATTTCAACAACTGGGTGAGGTTGGCTCCAAGCAGGAGATGGGTGCCCACTGCACGTTTGTTCGAGCGGTAAACCACTTTGGCTTCTCTATGTTGATAAATCTGCGATTAAAACCGGGTTCTAAATTGTTGCCAGTTGATAGGCTCATGCCTGGTCACCAATGGCTGCACAGAATACCCATTATATCCCAGAGGTAATTTAACTCGATTCACCGTCGCCCAGCACTGAGCGTTCGACGATCATGAAAGTGAGACGACTGACAACGAACCACTCGTAACAGAGCATGAAGGAGCGCTGTCTAGAGTTGGGTGAGAAATGCTCATCTAAGTGACTGCCGAAATAGTTCTACGGTGTCATCCTTAGCTGGGCGGTGGTTGTGGCTCTGCACGTGGCCTGCCTGTACACCAGCACTGGGTGGATCACCAAACACTCCTCCTCGACGCCCTTCCTGTGGGCGCCGAAGAGGAGGCACACCCTGGATCGCCAGGAGGCAGTACAGCAAGCAGACTAAACGCCGCCAGTGAGAGTGTTTTATCCCTCGCGCAAGGAGTGGGTTTTCTCCGGGCGCTCCGGTTTTCTCCCGCGTGGTATGAACACTTAATAATTGGCTGAAAACCAATTAAAATACAAAAAGAATAGTTACAGGATAATAAGAGTCCTAGGACCCATGTGTGGCTTTCCCGGTTAAATAAGCTAATTATTATAATTGGACGGGATTTTTTATTTGTTGACTTATTCCAAGATGAGCTTGATTCATTTAAGTATCTATCATATTCTCCGGATCATGAGAAGCACTGTTTTTTCCCTGTTTTATAAAGTACTAGCTGTACTACCCGGCTTCGCCCAGGACTTGGATTCACCACACGCGGTCGCCTTTGTCTCCTCAGTGGCGATGTTCACACACCACAACAGTTACTCGTTTGAGGCTGAGTCAACCTAGGGGAGGCCCAGGAACCGGTTCAAATAATCGTCACCGGTGGTGGCCGTGAGCGGGAATCGAACTCGGGTCGCCGGGTTCATAGCGCGGCGCGCTAACCACTACACTACAATGCGTTACGCTTCCACATGCAAGGGTCATGTGACAGATTTGATGTCACAGCTCACTTGCCGTGCAAAAAATCAATGCATTATTGAGATCCCCCCCTAAAAAAATACAAAAGTCTATTTTTATAATTTGTGCATGGTGTACAGTCTGGAAAGTACCCACATGGCAAATGTCAAGTTTGTTGCATGTCGGGAAGTACGCTAAACATTTTGAACAGACACACATATTCACAACTTTGCCTTTTATATATATGGAGAAAAACTGAGTGTGCATCTTATAATCCGGTCGGTGTGTGTGTGTGTTAGAAAGAGACCCAATGAACACAACGTTATTGACACCAGGCACATGTTTTGGGTTGCAGCATACTTTCAAGAACATCTTATAATTCTGGGAATACGGTGACTCTGATGATATTGTCGAGATTCAATTGGAGATGATGAAAATACATAAAAGTGAACTCTATGAACAAATTAATTAAATAAAAAACACAGGCCACCATGGTGTCCATGCGTGGTTTGGTCGCCTTCTCACCTTTTGGCCCTGGAGCATCATGGGAAACGTTATGGAGCAAAGGACTGTGGGTGGGTAGTGCCGGCCCCTTTGAGAGCGTGATGGAAAGAGTCTTCGTGTTGAGCTCCTGTTTTTCACGCACGTGTCTCCATCTGCAAGCAAAGCCACTTGAGAAAACCCAAGGCAGAATGCAACATCTCTCTTGAACTCAACAAAGTTTACACCTCAACATCTGGCAACCCAAGTAGAGATGCTTAACAAGCTTGACTCTTCTAATGAGGCTCATTGATTGAAAACCAATGCAAATTTCCCCTGCTCAAACAAATGCTGCCAAGAAGACATCACACCATGAGGCTTATACACTGATGCACAATAAAATACAATCGTATTTCATGTGGAAAAAAATACTTTTAAAGTCTAAATAAATCGCATTCCACTTTAATTCAGTTGTTGTTGTTGTTAAGATATCAGTCAGGCGCTTCAGCACTCATCTCTATTGCTAGCCTCATGCAAGTGGTGGAAATTCCTCATTCCCATGGCGAAGGCCAGTCCTCCGTGGGTAACCACCGCTTTAACAAGGTGGTACTCACCGCATCGATGCTGAAAGAATGACAGGAGAAGTCATCCGCCAAACCAGAATATGAACCTCGAACCTTCTGATTGAGAATCATGAACTCTGACCACCAGTTCAAAGTGTCTCTTTGGAAGCATTGTTCAGGATTTTGTTTCTATTTACCATTAGTCCAAATGTGAATTCACGGCAAGCACTCAGGGTTGCAAATGCGAACAAAGATTTTATTAAGGGTTTCATCTCTGGACCACAAACATTTATCGTAGCACGTTCATCCTGGTAGTTGTATATAATAGGATTTTATTAAAGCAGGGTAGTATAGTATTTTTTAGAGATAATTTTAGTTTTCAATAGGAAACAAAAATACGATGTGAAATCAACAGGAAACGTAAATAAATATATGGTGTGTCTATAACAGACATGGTATGTATGCTAAGATTTCTGCCTGTGGTGGAGACTTCCCGTGATGGAGACTGCCCAGAGTGGATACTGGTGGCATTTGGCATCCCACGTGATACCAAGCTAACCACCTTTTGTTCGTGCGCTATACAAAATCCACTTCTCTGTGTCATTCAATGGCAGGACTTTTGGATATTGGTTCATTCCATTATGCATGGTATGTGATGCCATCTGCATCCAAACGTACAAGCACATCTTGCCATTATAAGCGCTCATTATTTTAAGTCCAGGTGTAGGGAAGGACTTGTATTTATTTATGCATCAACCACATTTTGTGAAAATCATTCATGAGATTTTGTGGCGAGATTTCTTATCTTGATTATCATCATCAACTGAAAGGTGCTCAGACTTTTTTTTACGAACACACATCCGAACACTCCCTTACTCACGACAAGACAAATCACACCGAGCGTTTGGCCATTTTGGCAAAGATAGGAATGTGTCCTTATGCATCAATGCACCTGTAATGGCCAACAAGTCTGGTTCAGATATAGAAAAGAGAGGAAATAAAATAAATGTCTCGAAAATAACAATCTTTCCCACTGATTGGCCAACCAGAAACAATGTTATTCCACAGCATTTGTTAAAGCAAGCAAACTCCCGACCGGTTTGACCTTCAGGGTCTCATCAAGCAGAGTGAGGCCCGTTAAAGAACTGCTGTTGGGTTCCCTAATATAGCAACAATCTCTTCACAATAACACCAGTTCCCCTCCGGTAGTTATATATTCATTGGCCATGATCGTCCACGACAGCTCACAATGCGTGCCAGAGACGATTATTTCAGAGAGCCCAGGGACAGCCACGTGTGTCTCCGTGCAACATATGCATTGCAGAGGGAGCTTCAGATTAACATATCTGCCGAGAGACTGTACCTCCTCTGGCATAATAGCCAGTAGGGCTGTGCCGAGGCATCTGCTTCACTCTGCATTCTGGTCTTGAAGAAAGACTGCTCACTCCTGTTGCATGGGGCACTATGACAACAATAATTTCAACTTGTAATGCACAACAAGGTATTTGCTCGCTGTCAAAAGGCAGAGGACGACTCAGAGACACAACGAAACCACAGACGAGGGGGGAAAGCCAACAGCCAGCGAGTGAGCCATTGCCAAATTAACCCCTTCCCAAGCTCAGAGGTCCTCTATATATTCACGTGTTTGTGTTTAGCTGTGCCCGGTGTCAACTGAGTTGTACAAATCTTGTCACACACACACACGTACCAGATTAGAAGACGCACCCACAACCATTGTTTCAAACTATAGGGGGGGGGGGGGCGTCTTATAATCAACGCGGCTGCACCGACCAACATTGGTACACCGCCGTGACTGAAACGGCTGTGTAGGGCCTTCATCCAGGAGTATATTTAGAACTGCTTTTTGCGTTTAGTTTTTTTGTCCTTCTCACAAACGCTCGAACGAGCACGGTTGGCTACGTACGGTGCGAAAGAAGTTCAGCGTACGTAGGTACACACATTATCGGGCAATCGGGGAGTGTGGGAGGAAACCCAAGCACCCCAAGAAAATGCACGCATATGTTGCGGGGGGTGGGGGGGGGGGCACATTCATGCCATCTCATACAAATGGAACAGCTGGATATTGCTGTACCGCCTTATCCTGGCACTTCCTCGACGCCCCCACGGGAAGGGAATTTCGCAACATTTGCATGCGATCCACCAACCCTTGCTCGCCTCCACAGCGCGGGGGTATTACGGGCCACGTAAGCCACCCCCCCCCCTCCCCCGCACTCCTCGGCTACGGAAGCTATCGCCATCACTGTGGCTGCCTACCAAAGCACTCGCCTGGCTCAAACCCGCTGCGCCACGTTGGCGGAATGTTAGCTGCCTTGCCTGGTATAGAAGAGGTAGTGGGTTCGATCCCGAGCCTGACGCCTGTGTCATTTGGGGTTTGCATGTTCTCCCCGTTCGTCGTCTGGATTTTTTTTCTCCAGGCCCTCCGGTTTTTCCCTCCACATTTACGATCAACATCATGCATTTAAGAGTATTTGGCTGCGATGCATTTTCAGGTGATGAGACGCCTCGTTGAGTATGACATTTGTGGACAGGTCGCTTCTGAAAAAGCGCTACATAGCTCAGTGGTTAATAAAAAAAAAAATAGTACGGTATATTTTGAACGTATGCTCTGTGGCTTCGCCAGTTACAGATGCCACCGATGTTCTAGTTTTTAATGAGCATCGGGTGTCAAAGTCGTTGCTCTTCCTTGTCTGCCCAAACACCTCTTCATCAGTGTTGCCTAGAAAACTTCCAACAAATAAAATTACCCCGAAAATATGGTATCGCGTTGTGCCGCGGCAGCCTCTCGTGAATTTGCAGGCATCACTCACCCAGTCTGCAGCCTGGCGGTGTCAGTTGTGGGGTCATGACCTCCATCTCCTCCTCCTGGATCGACAACGAAGTTGCTCCGCCGTGTCTCGCATGATCGCGCAGGAGCCACCGCGGTGTGCGGGGGACTTCCAGACTTTACCGCTTCCTTCCGTGGAAATGAATAAAAAGGTTTTCATTAAAATTGTCTTCATTTATTAGTCGCTTTCCCCCCCGATATTTCCAGCGGCGCGTGCGTTTTACGCGCAGATAACGCGCAAAGCGTCAAGGATTACAAATTTCACAGATAACGGAAATTACAAGTTTGGGATTTTTTTTCAGTGCACAGCTTTTCAAGGCATTGGTTAAATGTGCATAATCTGAATTCGCGTTTATTTTCTCAAATTAAAACACAGTTTAACTTAAAAAAAAAACAAAGAAGAGAAGCCGATTATATTTTCTAAAATACCATCACAAAATGTTTTTTTGTAGGATTCTGATACGCTTTGTAAACGAGGACACGCATTGCTTTAATTTAAGAACTTGATGTGTGGAAAGTCCATTACGTAGCGGCAACTCATTTATAAAACGGAGATGGGTGGGGGAGGGGGGCTTTGTAGCTCTTTAATGCATTTATCCCGGGACCACATCTTTTTTTTATTACAAAAGTGATGTCCCAATGAGCAATGGTAAAAAAAAAAAACTGTAAGAATTCTGAGATTGTTTTTGTTGTTTTCGTATTTCTGTACAGCACACATGAAGCCTGGACAATCTGGCCCCGGGTGCCTTCAGCCATCCGCCAAAATATTTGTCCAGTCGGGCAATTTCACTCAGATCGAGCAACCGATAATAGGCATTTATGTTTACACCGCAGCGGCCACTAGGCAAAGGGCAAAATTGGAGGCGTGTGTGCTCGTGGTATCGGGGATGTTAATCGGCCTCTCCCAAGAGCGAGAGGGGGAATAACAGTGCCGTGCGGCTTTATGTGGTGGGCCCCACCTCGTCGGAGCCACCAACGTTTGAAGGACGCGCAGCTGGATCCAGGTCCCCCAGCACCATCGCTCCGTCCTCGGCGTCACCGTATGGCAGGGCCCAACCTGACAGGGGAGGCACCGCCGGTTGCCGAACGAATATATTATAAGGTCGCACTCATTATACACAAAGTGCTTGCCGCAAATGAACCACGACACCTTGCTGATGTCGTCAAGGAGCATAAGGCATCGCTGCGAACTCCGGTCATCTTCGCATCGGCTTTTGGCTTCGAAAAAAGACGGTGGTCACCGCATCGCGCGCTTTCGGATGCGCTTCTGCGGCCGTCTGGAACGCTCTTGCTTCCAATATTAGGAAGCCACTGGAGCTGTGCACTTTTAAATTTAGATTAAAAAACTAATTTCTTTGGAATTGCTTTTTGTGTTTAGTTTGTAAGCACGGTTGGCTACGTACGGTGCGAAAGAATTTCAACGTATATGCATACAACCGCTGGACTTTGGTCCGAGGTTAGATCGGTGTTCGGTCTTGCTGCTTAAGTCGGATTTAAGGTGAAGTGGCTTAAGGGTGAGGTCCTGGCCTCGTATATCCTGTAATTAAACCAGGGTTTTCGTGTGTTGGGAGAAGAATGGTTGTGATTGACTGCAGACACAACAACAACAATGTTCATGCCGCGTTTACACGTGTGTGGATTTATTGTCCTTCCCCCGCACCTCCGATCGGCAAGGTTGCCTACGTACGGTGCGAAAGAAGTTCAACATACGCATACGTACACCCACGATGAGAAGGGAGGTTGCACGCGTACACGTCCTGCGTGGTGTGTGCGAGCCTGCGTGGGCCCTTTCCTCAGAAGGCCTCTTACCTGGTGGAGCGCACCTGGACACCTCCAACTTGGCCTGCAGGTGATTGATGAGCCACGGGATTGGGTGATGGGGCATCTCCAACAACAGCATGGAAAGCATCTCCTTGTGAAGGCGCAAAAGGAGCACAGCAATCACAGTACTAATGTTACGATCGCGCACCCACCACTGTAATTACCGTATTCGCCGGATTATAAGACGTTCCCCGGGAAGTAATATGCAACCCAACAATTTTATTTTGGATGTATAAAGCGCCTTTTGCAGAGACGCTCGACAATGCTGACTAACTATAATGGAAGGATGGGTGCGGTAGTACGGCCATTTAGCAATCGGGTTTGGAAAAGGAATGAAGAAATAGCAGCAGGGGAAGGAGGCGATGGTGCAGGGGGTTGAATGAAGAATGGGTTGAGCGTGATATAGTGGATGAGGCTGATAGAAGGGCGTGAAGGAGTTGCCACACACACACACGTGCCAGATTATTAGACGCACCCTCGACCGTTGCTTTTAAATCCCCGCGCGCTGCGTCTAATAATCCGGAGAATACGATATTACAACCGGTTTCTGTACAATCCTCGTCACCGATGCGGCCGGACCGACTAAAATTGGAGAAGTATGACGATCAAAGTACAGTATACCCCCCCCCCCCCCCCCCCCCATGACCGAAGTGGCTGTGAGCCTGGAGGGTCTTCATCCAGGAGTGGATTTACAAATGGGCTGTGCACTAATAATAACAACAATATTATTAGTGCATACTTGTCAACCCCTTAACAGTGCCTACCTTATTACAGACCAATTCAGACATTATTGGTCACCACGTGTCCCTATAAATCTCAACGTGCATCCTCCAAACTACCATCACAAGGGAGAGAAACACAAACAATTAGGCAAAAACAATAGTCTTTCCCGTATTGAAACGGCTGTACGCAATATGGACCTGAAACACTCAATGCCCCTGTACAAGAACACGGGTTAAACCGTACGGGTTGACAAGGTATGGGTATTGTCCTTAACACCACGAGTTACGATTAACGGACTCGATGATCACATACGGAGAGCAACCGACACCGGAGCATTGTAATGCCAGGTGAGCGGACTCACCTTGAACAGGTGGTGGACCCGGTGTGTCTCCATGTACGCCTGCACGTTCACTTGAGCCATTGGCGGTGGCAACCTTCACTCGCCAGCAAGCGGCGTCTTGCCTTCTCTGCCAATTACACTTCCCGGAATCGGCCCTCCTTTGTTCACAGCCAAATGGCCATATGCCGTCACACCTGTGGCAGGTGCGTTACAATTAAGAATAACAAGACTTTAATTTCTGCTCGAGATCCCGAACGTTGGGACGCTCCGTTCGGGTGATGTGAGCAAGCAACGGGATGGTGTGTGTGTGTGTAAGATGTGTGTGTCCTGTGATTTTAGCAAGTCACGTTAAGGTGTGTTTGTGTAAGAAATGTGTGTGTGTTCTGTGTATCCTGTGATGTTAGAAAGCCACGTATAGGTGTGCGTGTGTGTGAGATGTGTGATGTGTGTTGTGTGTCTTATGATGTTAGAAAGCCACGTTTAGGTGTGTGTGAGATATGCGTGTGTGTGTGTGATGTGTGTTGTGTGTGCCCTGTGATGTTAGAAAGCCACGTTAAGGTGTGTGTGTGAGATGTGTGTGAGATGTGTGTGTGTGAGATGTGTGTGTGAGATATGTGTGTGTGAGAGATGTGTGTGTGAGATGTGTGTGTGTGTGAGATGTGTGTGTGTGTGAGATGTGTGTGTGAGATGTGTGTCTTATGACGTTAGAAAGCCACGTTTAGGTGTGTGTGAGATCTGTGTGTGTGATGTGTGTTGTGTGTGCCCTGTGATGTTAGAAAGCCACGTTAAGCTGTGTGAGATGTGTGTGTGTGATGTGTGTGTGAGATGTGTGTGTGTGTTCCGTGATGTTAGAAGGCAACATAAAGGGAGTGTATGTGTGTGTAAGATGTGTCCTGTGGGTGTTGTGTCCTGTGATGAGGGCGTACGTAGGCTGGCCTCAAGTTGACTTCCACGCATCACCAAAGCAACCGAACAAACGCGTCAGCAACGTCCATTGTGGCCCTGAGCTTGTACAACAGCGACACCTGACGGATGTTTGTCTCCGTGTCTCCCGGAAATGAGACGCAAGAAAAACCTGAAACAGTTCGTTTTTTATTTGGTGATGATGCTGCTGCTACGTTGGCAAGTGATGCACAAGAGTAGAATGAACAAAAATGCCCTTATTCATAGCAAGTAAATACACATTTTAAAATGATTTTTTTTTGCTAATGTAATTCTTATCAGGCCCCAGAGTGTAAATTAATGCAGTCTACAACTCGTGTTGTCCATTCTGTCTCTCTGGACTCTGTATTTGCGTGATATTAAGAAGGGCCATTGCCCAAACAGCACACCTGTCAACCCCTTATCAGTGCCCTACCTTATTACAGACCAATTCAGGCCATTATTGGTCACCCTGTGCCCCTTTAAATCTCAACGTTCATCCTACAAAGTCCCATCACGAGGGAGAGAAACATAGACAAATAGACATTTTTTTTGCACGTATTGAAACGGCTGTACGCCGTATGGACCTGAAACTCCAATTTCCCTGTACAATAATACGGGTAAACCGTATGTGTTGACAGGTATTACATCGTCACCTATTATATATATACATTTATTTTTTAAATGTCACGGTGCTATTGACAAATGCTTTGACTTTTTTAAAATTATGATTGTGCACCACTGCCCTAAAACGGAAACGAATTATAGACCGTATTCTAGATTTAAAGCTTTCGTGACTGGTAGGATCCATACTCTTTGGTTCTATTGGGTAAAGTCACGTAGGTGAAAATAAAATAACAAAAAATCACGACGTTTCGGCCACAACACAAGCGGCCTTCATCAGGTGAAGGGACGAGACTGTCTGTCCCTCCAGCGCTGTCCTCCAGACAGTCTCGTCCCTTCACCTGATGAAGGCCGCTTGTGTTGTGGCCGAAACGTCGTGATTTTTTGTTATTTTATTTTCACCTACGTGACTTTACCCAACAGAACCAAAGAGTATAGACCGTATTTTTTTCGGATTATAAGACGCACTTACTTCGCACCCCATTTGAACGCACAAGTTGGGCGAGCGCCTTGCACATCACGAGTTCTTTGCGTCCGTGGTTGCCGTTGGCCAAAGTGCACCTGGCCTGGCACAGGTGCCGTGGTGACGTCAGCGTCACTTAGTGGCGAAAGGCGGATATTGGTATTGGTTGTTGACCATACTTGTACAACTTCATCGTCTTACTTTAACGGAGCATCCTATAAGTCAGCGGATCCCAAACTTTGTGGCACCAGGGACCGGTTTCGTGGAAGACAATTTTTTCACGGACCGGGGCGGCAGGGGGTGTCATCATTGGGTCTTTCCCCCCACCTCAAAGAAGCTCTCCAGCGACGTTTGTGTTTTTACTCATTGTGGCTACTAGGGGTTAGAGCTTGTGGGCTTACCAACACCGTGACTTAGACAAGTGCGCAGTCTGAGCAAGAGGCGCGGACGGAAGTGGTAAATAATAAAATAATGAGGATGGGCCACGCGTGGACTCACCGCTCTCACCTCCTGCTGCTGCTGTGCGGCCCGGTTCCTAACCCCGGGGGTTGGGGACCCCTGCTATAAGTCACCTCCCCCCCCCCCTATCCATAGCAGCCTCTCTCAGGACATTTCCCGAATCGCCGCCGATTCTACACAGCGTCGTTTGTATTCCTTGTAGGGCAGTGTTATCAATGGTGTCTTTAATATTCGTGACTGTGATCCACTGCCAAAGCAGTATTACCAACACGTGTCATTGTCAAGATGTGATGTATCACATGCTATTAGCAAATGCCCTCTCTACCACGGGTCCTGTATTTCAAAGGGCCACACTGTGTGTTTTTTTTCTTCAGTTGCTTGTTAACGTCCGGCGACCGCTTGGTTGCATAAAATCAACATTGGTTACATATTTTCTTAGATTCCAATCAAGTGGAATCTGCGTGCTAATTTAAGTATGTTTGTGGAACTGTTTCCAGTTATCTGACATTTACACAAACGGGACACATTACTGCTGCCACAAACACCCACTTTTGATGAAGACCTCTGTAATAAACTTGATTTGAAGCTTTCGTGACTGCAGGAATTACTCTTTGGTTCTTTCGGTAAAGTCACGTAACTGACTTTACCTCTGTAATAGTTGATAGCCGACAGCACTTTTGTCAATCCACTGCTGGATGAAGGCCCGTGCCAGTCCTGTGAATAGTTTGACCACTGTTTATCACGCTGGTCAGTGCGAGTTGGTAAAGGGAGGATCCGGAAGCGGTTTCAATACCAATCAGGAATCATGATGATGGTGATGATGATATAGAAGCCTTTGGTAGAGAAACCAAACAGAAGTCGTTGACAGCACAGCGCGAACCAACCAGTGCCATCGCTCCACAAAAACCTGTAAGAAAAGCAGACCTCGAACCAAATTACACCTGAGATGTGCCCGATCCCAGGCGTTTAGTTGCGTACGCGCGGTGCAATATGCATAAGTCTATCTGCATTTTTTAAATCGTCAAAATTGGAACGTGCTTTGAGGTTATTGAAATACGACCTATGTTGTGGATTGCACTTTAGATGATGATAGTTCATGTATGGAAGAAGATGACGAGGATTCATTGATGATGACTCATTGATGGGCAATGGCTATGATTGATGGCTGATTCAATGGTGATAGTGACGATTAATTGATGGGTGATGATGATGATGGTGATGTTTTCAACCAGACATATGGACGTACAATTTTTTTGTAAATTGTAAAATATTGACCCGCTATCGCATCAGGTCTTCAACCAACCAATTCGAGGCAACGAACCTATCCTGAAATAACTCCATCCACACTCTTCGGTTCTTTCGGTAAAGTCACGTGGGTATAAAATAAAATAAATCACGACGTTTCGGGCGCAACACAAGCGTCCGTCACCTGATGACGTCACCTGCTGACGGACGCTTGTTGTTGTGTGCCCGAAACGTCGCGATTTATTTTATTTCATACCCACGTGACTTTACCGAAAGAACCAAAAGCGTATGGATTCCTGCAGTCACGAAAGCTTCAAATCAACTCCATACATCCTTGCGCATTCAACAAATAATTGCGCACCGTCGCGGTAAAAGTGGGTTACATGTGTTTATTTCAAGTGAGCACATAAATAGGCACGTGGCGTGTCGACAACGAGAGAGTGTCATAACTAGCGGACTGAAGGACAAACGCACGCGGAGGAGTTAAATGCGCATCGGGAGTTTGTTATTGGTCATTATGCGTGATGCCAGAGCGTGTTTGGGAGTACAACGTTGATACATACGGGTGAGGGTGTGATGTTAAAGAGAGAGGATCAGTTGACAGAGAGGTGGTGGTCATTATTGCGCAGGCAATGCTGTCTTGTCCGCATTGGTGCTGGTGAAGAAAAATCACGGGCGTTTACCAAATTCAAATTCCAGCACACCATTGCACACGAATGTTTCAGCTTGACACGCAAATCATGCCGTGCTTTCTGTGACTTTTATTTAAGGTGGTGGGGTTGAAGACTTCGTTTTTTGTGAATAGCTATAATGAACCTATTAAAAACACTATGACCGTTCGTGAATGAGGGCGATTGCTCAGAGTGTTCCAATAGTTTTCAGTCGTGTAAGGCAGTGTTTGGTAATAACGGTGGTGGTAAACACGAGGCCATTCTGTCCACTCTTTGGTTGTATCTGTAAAAAACCTAGCCACCAACCACACTGTAGGTGTGTTTTTTTAATCCATTTCAGTTATTTAGACGATTCCTTCGAAACTGTGAGTCAGTCTCAGTCACAGCGCTGACTTGGACTGGTTTTCATTGTGCAGTCAAATATGGGGCTCGATCTGACGGGAAAGAACCAGGGCCCTGTTGTACTACCGATGAGCTTTGCACACCCTATGGCCTTTTTTGACCTTGGCGAAAAATAAAATAAACCATACAACTTTCACCATTATACTCTTTGGTCACGTTATTTCACTTACGTGACTTTACCCAATAGAACCAAAGAGTATGGATCCTAGCAGTCACGAAAGCTTTAAATCTAGAATTTTCACCATTATATTCTTATGGAGTTATAGAAATTGACGGCGGGGAATAGTGTTGTATGATGATGAGCAATCCCAGTCATAAGTGCCGAGAAACGGGAGGTTTTGGGGTGGGATTTGCAGGGGAAGGGTGGGGGGGGGGGGCACTCTCACCGTGAAATTTCACGGGCCACTTTTTCTCCAGAAACTATAAGGCACCGGAGCTGTTACAGCATTACCTCCCCAAAAACAAAAACAGCCACGGCAACTGTGGCAACAACCTCCCGCCCGCGCATGGATCCCCTTCGCTCCGTCGCTCGGTGGGGGGGGGGGGGGGTCTGCCGCCTAATTATTGAGCATTGTCGGGCTGTCGTTCTTCATGACGTCCCGGAAGAACGTGACCAGCGGCTTCAGGTGCGCGTAGCCCGGCGACTTGCGCATGAAGCCGCCGTAGCGCTTCTGCTTGAAGTGCGTCGGCGGCTGCCCCCACCGAAAGTGGTTCATCTGGTAGAGCTCCGGGTTCTCCTTCTGCATGCTCAGAGGCGTCGAGTCCTTCTTGGACGGTGCCGCCGACCACTGCCGCGCGTTCACCTCGTTTGCCTGGTCGTCGAGGGTCCACCCTTCGTCCCAAGCCTGCCCTCCGTTCACCACCCGTGCGTTTTCGTCGCTCCCCATGCCAAGAGGGACCCCCTGGCTCTGCTCCGGCTGCCGCTTCTTGCCGGGCAGAGGCTGTCCCCAGCGGAAGTGTTGCATCCGGTAGCCGTCGGCGCTCTCCTGGACCCGCTTGTCGGCGGAGACCTCTCCTCCCTCTGGCGCCTCATCTCCTCCTCCTCCTCCAAGGAGCACAATCTCGGAGCCGTCAGCAGATGGTGCCGCAAGGCGACTGCACTCCCCGAGGCACTGCATCCAGCAGAGCTGCACGGGCGGTGGAAAAAGAGAGCGTTGTTTTTGTTATCATCATCATGAGCCACAATCTCTCCGCTGCTGGATGAAGGCTTCCACCACCGCACCATCACCTAGGAGAGCTACGTGAACATCCATGGCGAGCGGGACCTACGCTTGTCCTGTGCCTCTTTTAGGTCAACTCAGCCTTTGATAAATGAGGAGCCAGTTTATTCTGTAAACATTAGCACGGAAATAACAAAGGCTCTCCGATGGCGCACGTCTCTGTGGAGTCTCCAGCTGAACGGGTGATCTTTGGGTGAGTGTGTGTGTGTGATTCTGCTTGCTAACAGCACTTGCCCCGACAGTCTGTTGAAGGCCATACGGGGGGTTCTTCATCGTTGTGTTTTTGAGAACAGTGCTCAACACAAAATTGCGTCGATTGCCCCCACATTGTCAACGGTAAGGGGGCGATGGGGACACGAATAAAATACCAGGTCACGCATTCCAAGTTGTATGCATTTCCCAGTTACACATTAGCACAGTGACGTACCGCCAGCCACCACCATCCACCCCCCACGCATAGAATTACAGAAGTTCTCAAAGCGTACACCGAAAACCGTTCAAGCATTATGAATGCCGCGGCGGGAGAGGACATCCAGTGTGCCTTACCTTGTTAAATCTCGAAGCAGCTAAGCAGGATTTTTAGGGCCTGGTTAGAATTTGGATGTAACGATTCTCTGGGAACAATATGGTGTTTGTAGGGCTTGGGTTACGAGGTGGCCAATGGGATTGTAGTGCAGCAATGGATCCTTGCATCTATCTGTGTTGAGCTTTGGGGCATGGGGTTTCTCCAGGCGCTCTGGCTTCCTCCCACACGCCGTAAACAGTCGATTATGGAACTGCCCGAACATCGCAACGCAAGTTCGCGATTGTTTGTATGTTTTGTTGAACTTCTTTCTCAAGCTGCGTAGCTAACCGTGCTCATCGGAGGTGCGGGGTTAAGGGGTCTTTAGCCTTGTTGTGGCTTTGCTGGTTACATGCATGGTTTGATAATTATTATCTCGACTAACAGCATTGACCCCATACAAGTTAGATTTCAGTCGTACTGCGGTGGCCATAAAACACCCAGGAATGAGCCTTTGGCCACTCCTGGGTAACTGTCACCACAGCTGTTATCAATGCTGTAGATCCATTTTTATAATGCATTTGATCAGAAACAAACACTTCAGTGTCACATACAAAATAAAAAGAAGGCTTAATATTCGTTTTTTTATTATAAAAAGAGATAAGCAATAAAAAATAAAAAAAGATTACGTTTTTGTTATCATTAACGAGTTATAAAGGGATCGGCTTCATGAAGATATCATAGCTACTAAAGAGATCCTAGTTAGATCAAATGGCGAGTCAAGTAACGATGCAATGTTCAAATGGACGAATTAAAAAAGGTAATAAATGGAATAAAACCAATCCTCTATATTAAACTGATATCACCACTGGATCCGGTCACAACAATAATGTATGGTCCTAATTTTATTCCTATTTGCTTTTGTTCAACGTATCCACCAACATTAAATTTGTACAGTCCTGACCGTTGTATATACGATTTGTCTGTTTGTGCTGATATCACATCTTGACGAGGTTGATTCCTGAACGCAAACCATGGCTTTTCTGTACATTCCTAGTAATGGGGGTCGTTGAAATCCCTTCAATGTTTTTTTTTGTGTTAACGATAATCGTCGAAAAAAAATAAACAAAACCCCCCCCCTAAAAATGTAATCGATCAATGATCGTTTTTAAGCAGCCCTAATTCCTACTGGTTTCTTTTTTTTCTTCCTTGAAGCTGTACCGGCTCGGGCTGGGCGGGTTCCAGACAGCTCTCGCACGCCTGTAGGCAGACGAGAGGAGCACTCCTGGATGCCGCGGGACCCAGGAGGGCGATGAGGCCCGACAGTAGGAGAGCGACACGGCACGGCAATGAGGAGCTCCGGGTTGGAGCACTGCTCGTAGTGGCCATTGTGAGCCTGCAGGGACACAGGGCAGCCCGGCGCACAGCAGGCCAGAGCGGTCTTCCCATGAATCGGCCGTTCTCGAACTTCAGCGCCGTCGATTGGTACCAACTGCAACGACGAACTATTAAAATGGATTATTATTCTTTTTTTTCTTACCAGGTAAGGCCCCACTGAGTTATGCAGTTCTTTTTTTTTCAGAAGCAACCTGGCCACACATGATAGCTCAACGAAGTTGCTTATCGCGTGCAAATGTAAGGCAGTCAAATACTCTAAACGCGTGTTTATAAACGTGGAGGGAAAAACCGGAAGACCCAGAGGAAAATCCACACGAATACGGGGAGAGAGAAAATGCAAACTCCAAATATACAGGCGTCAGGGTTGGAATTGAACCCACAACCTCCTCCATACCAGAAAAGGTAGTTACCATCTCGCCACCGTGGCAAAGCTTTCTTTTGGGTGAATACATGGTATGGTGATTACCACGTGGCAGTCGAGAATTGTTTTCATCAATCGATTATGGATCACTGGTTGGGAAAACTTCAGTGCCAGCAATGACGCCAACTGCAATGATGCATGTTTCTTCAATTATATTTTCCGCACGATGTCACGTATGTGGAATGACATTGTCCCTGCATTACATTAGAAACAATGCTGGCCAAGTCAGCTTTCAACCACCAGTTAAACGCTGGAGCGCTGTGTCCACGATATGTTATCTCCTTCGCCTAGTATGTAGGAGTTTCTAGGTTCGATCCCCGACCCTGACGATGCCTGTTGTATATTTGAAGTTCGCGTGTTCTCTCTCCCCGTGCTGGTTGCTTGGATTTTTCTCCAGGTTCCTCCACATTTAGAAAAGTTAATTTAGATTATTTGGCTGCTACTGTAAAGTCCCACGTATCATATAAGCTACTTCGATGAGCTGTCACGTGTGGCCAGGTCGCCTCTAAAAAATATCCCATAACACAGTGGGTTTTGCTTGGTGAAATAAAATGGTGTTTGTTCATAGTTACACGGTTTGATTTGGTACCAGCCACACAGCACCTCCTCACGCCTACCTTAATATGTGCTCACTAACAGCACCTACCCCGATGGTCTGTAAGGATGACCCACAGTGAACGGTGCTATTTATCTTACGTCACGGCATAAAGTGTCCCATTGAAACAGAGGATATCCCCATGCAAAATAAAACGACCCACGGAAGCAGATATCACAGAGATCCCAGCACCTGCAATGAGCACGGTTGACTACGTAAGGTGCGAAAGAAGTTCAACATGCATGCGTACAAGTTGACCTTTTTTTTCGCATTCACTTCTACGGAGGCATGTTAGTCGCGTGCCAGTCGCTCGGTTTTTGTTTCATTCTCAGAGCTCAAGTAAAACAAATTGTTTATTGACTGCGATGGGTTTTCTTTGTGCGTTCAGGTTTAACCGGGTTGAGACCATATGAATGTGGAATAATTCGCCACCGACTCATGGCTGCACAAAGGAGATGAGTCCATCCCATACTCATTGCATGGGGAAAAAAACAGCACAATTGAATCTTGAATGTTATACTTGTCAAAGTGAACATAATTTCAAATTATTGGGGCAACAAATAGAAATCTTATTGATCATATATAATATTATTTTACATGCCAAGCAAAGTCTGGGTCGTGAAAATAGCTTTCAAGAGGGCCTTGCCAGATATGTTTGACCAGCTCCTTTTTGAATGAGTACAAATCTTTGAATATTTTTTTACAAGCGATGTAGATGCTTGATATTATAGAGCTCATATGTGTCCCCCTAAATTAGCTCACGCATTGCGCATACTTACGATTTCTACATGTACTAGAAGTCGGGGAAGACAGTTAATTAAGTGCATCACCGATTGCATGCAACTGGGAGAGTCACGGACAGAGCTAGATGGAAGAAAGCACGTGGCTGAGAGAGAGAGAGTTATACATTTATTTCCAGCCTGATCATTTGCACATGAAACTACCAAAGCCTAAAGGTGGAGCCAGGTTTTTTTTTAATGTGTGCATCAAAATTACCAAGATTCGGCCACTGCATGCTCTAACAATATCATAGCCCAAATCCTACAATTATAAACATGTCCCGAATCTCAATCGGCAAAATAATGACTGTGTACATGTCCATAAATATATATGTAAATATTTATAAAAAATTTAAACTAACAGGTAAGGTGTCACTGGGTTAAAACCAAACATCGGTGTCAAAATAAAACGTACAGAGATTACCCACGCGCTGTTACCTCCTGCACGTATGTACGTTGAACTTCCTTCGTACCCTACGTACCTCTTGAGGTGAGGAGCGGTGAGGCGTCGTCGTCTTGTGAGCAAAGGCGGGTGAATCCCCGAGTGTGTCTCGGTCCCTTTTATCCCCAGAGATCCACAACCCCCCCCCCAGCCCCCACCTCCTGTGGGGGGGGGCTGTGGGTGACGCCACCGTCCGAACAACCTAGGAGTTGTTCCACGTCATCACGACATGATCTCTTCCGTCTCCATTCACTCCCCGGAGTGCCGTATCGTCGCCACGGAAAGGCAAGCGACCTTTCAAGGTGTGGAGGGGGGGGGGGGAATGTTCGATTCGTCGCATTCGCCACGCAAATTCTCCGAGGCGGCCGTGTCTCAGGGGAAAAAAGCGAAGAATTGATCAACAGTTTTCAAAGTGTGGCTAATTTTTATTTTCTCCCACCTGTGCCTATTTTTTTGTTTTCTTAAAAAAAAAACAATTTGTGTCCGGGGACTATGAACACGCGAGTTGCACGCTGGGTGGGAGTAGTGGCGAAGCGGTTAGCGCACCGCGCTGTGAATCCGACAAAACTGATATTTATTTTGCCACCATCTGATATCGGTACACACCTGAACGGGCCCCTACCAGCCTGGTGAAGTATGGTGAAACGACCACCATGGACTGACACGACATAGAGAGGTCTTCATGCAGCAATGGAATTGACAAAAGCTCTCTGTCATTATACTCATATATGGTACAAAGATGAACCATCATTATCACCGGATGCAGAAGCCAATTGTTAACATATTCTCAAAGATATGTGTTTTTTATAAGCCATATCGTTTTCTGGAGGTTAGAAAAGCATAATTTTTGAGTCCTTAATGACTCTCAGATGATTATAATTCAAGGAAACGACCAATTAACTCAGGTGCCGCCAGGCAGTATCGATGTGATCCGTGTTTCAATTACCTATATTGACCTTCACAGACAGCTAATAAAGTGACAGCCGTCCAATTTCATAGAGGTCCATTTATTTATGGATTACTGGCATGTAACAATGCCGTAAAAACAAATTTGATCCTTACTCTCACGATAATGTGAATTGGACCGTGTTTTTTTTTTTACAATCATACGCGTATGATTTATGTAAACGGTATGCTTACGATACTTTTAGATTATTTGAGTGAGCAAAACTGTATCCGCGACATGTAAAGTTAAATAGTAAAAAAACGGAAGCGCTGCTCCTAAATGATAACAGTCACTGATATTCGTGGAGTGTCAATCCTTCCAGGAATATTTATAATAGCATCATTTACGTACCCAGGAAGCGGTAATCAGTGATGACCTTGTCACTGTTGGTACTAAAGCGAACCATAAGCTCGTCGGTGATGAAGATGCTGCCGCTGCTGCGTTGGCAATGGTGCAAAAGCACAAATATTATTTTATACATTCATAGAGCGCCTTGGCTCAGGTGCTTTAACGTGGTTTAAAGGCGGTAACAACAATATAGAGATTTAAATGGCAGTGGCTTTGCAAACGCTGATGAATGAGTGACCATAACAGTGGACACAGGGCTCACACAAGGGCTATAGGGGAGGGACGGGAAGGAGTGGAGGGGCGAAGGGAGAGACAAGGAATTGAATGGGCCATGGGGAAGATGTGGAGCTTGACGAGAGGAACGAAAGGGGGTTAAGGAGGGGGCACTGCTTCATGTACAAGGGGAAGTTTATTCCAGTAGTAGGGTGCATGGAGGGAAAAAAAACATAGTCTAGATCGGAATATTGCACAGAATCACAAAGTGGCATTCAACACAATTCACGAAAACAACTCTTAACACGTTCCTCGATAAGACTGCCACAAAAGAAGAAGCCCATATTAGGTGACATTTTTCGGGCAACGTGTTCACGATTTTTTTCATTAATCTGAAATGTCTTTGGTAGGAAATTGTGGATGAGCAAACGTGTTTTTTTCCTCTCATGTTTCTGGACCGATCTGTGGCATGTCAATAATACGAAGTGACTTCCACGCTTTTCCTCCAACAAAGTGGTATCACACCTCCGATTAGCACGGTTGGCTACGTATGGTGCGAAAGAAGCTCAACATACATCCATCGCGCGCCATTGAGTGGCACCAAGATTGTCGGCACGAAGACTTTGTGAAGGGGAATATATTGTAAGTTATCCAGATATCTGAAGATCTATTGTCGTGAAATCTGAATGTTTTAAATAAAAACAAATCACCCCTTCTATTCTCTCACGTCCACAATCAGTAGCACTATGTTTAAGCTTTATATATATATAAAAACTACAATAGAATGCTCGTGTGGCTGCCTCAAAAAAGGCTTCGGTTGAGAATGAACAGCCACTTTTATGGATTTATGAATGTTTATGGAGATGGATATTGCAAACAGCTCCTCGAGGCGAGAGACGGTTCAAACATCGGAGGAATTATTTCTGACAGACGGTGGCCGGGTACTTGAAGGATATCAGAGCCAGAGTGGTTCCATGGGACAAGTGGCGGACGAAGAAGCGACTTCTCTTTCTTGACCGCGAAAGCCTCGTCTAGATCGGAAGTTTACACAAAATAACAGATTGATTTTCAACACGTTATTGCACGATTGTTTCTCACGGTTCTAAGTCTGGTGGATTTTTTGTTTTAAAATGTAATGTTATAAGGCACTACATGAGGCTCTGCAGAAGACCGGTAATGATTGCAATGTAGGTGTGCCGTGCAGAATGTATGAAAAAAACCCCGCTGGACTAGTTGTAAGGTTAAATTAGAGGTAAGACTTACTGCTTAAGTTAGACTAAACGTAAGCACCTCCGATTAGCACGGTCGAGCTACGTACGGTGAGAAAGAAGTTCAACATACATATGTACATTAAACGTGAAGGTGGTTAGATGGACGGAAATAAATAAAAAGTAAGGAAGAGGTGCTACAGTGAAATGAGGAGGTGCTCCGAATGGGTTCAGGAGAAACGTGGTTGGAACAATTGAATCGATTGGCGGTGACCCGGGTCACCATCGTGACCCGGGGGTGCCAAAACCTCCATAACTCCGAAACCAAAAGGCCTATGAAGATGGAAGAGTGAGGGTTGGCAATATTGTGAGAAGGGGCAGCACAGGAGGTAGAGCTGTCGCCGGACATATTGATGCACAGGGAAAGGTGCCAACCTGACCCTTACATCCTCATCCTCCTCCTCCTCACCATCACCACCACCACCACTGCTGTGGCGTCCGGCGGCACCACCCCACCATAAATGTGAACCATCAGCCACCACGGTTCGCTTCCATTCCAACAATTCCAGGGACGGCCCCCCCCACCCCCCCCCCCCCCCCCCCCCCGAGGGGGATGCTCCCCCACCTCTCCCCGCTGCGGCTCTGCCAATCACCTGCCCTCGGCGCGGTGTTTTCTTTACCAATTTTCAGAAGGAATGGGGCCACTATCGCCGATAAGACATCATCAGCGTGAGCGCCGCCACGCATTTGTAACCATTGTTGAGTTTGACAACAGCACGATGATGATGATGATGGTGGTGGGGCTGTTCACACTCTTTGTGTATTGTTGGGGGCCTTACGTCAGGGGCCGTAACTAAAGGCCACCAGGGGCCGCCGGTCTGGCCCGCGGGCCTTGCAGTGGAGAACGCTGCGGGCTTAGCTGAGGAACCCGAGCAGCAGTAGCGTGAACATCAATGAAGCCGCATCGAATGCTGCGGCTTTTCAGGGTGTCGCATTACGGCCTCGTGGTTAATGTGCGTGGAGCGAGCCGCATTATATTCGAGAACATTTCCGATTAAAAACAAAAAAAATGTTTTGCCTCTCTTTAGCCAGATGACACGTCGACTGAGATTAATCAAGCCGTGCCTGGCTTATATATATATATAAAAAACATGCGCTTGTTTAAAGAGCAAAAACTATTGAAAGTATTCTTCAATTTACTGGCAGTCGCAGCAAGGACCTGAGAATATATATATTTTACCAATTATTTCGAACGCCGCTTTTATAAATGAGAAATATGTTCACGCTTTTTTTTTGGCAATGGCCCGGCTACAGCACGGAGGCAGAATGTCACGATTAAGTTGCGGCGCCTCATCAAAACATGTATAATTGAAATAGAATCATTAGCGATTGAATGGCTGTGAATGACATTAATCATAATAATACATATGATTTAAACTTTGTAATGCGCCACACGGCGTTCGCTCGCTCTCGAAGAGCAAGAACGACTCGGACACGCAAGGAACCACAGGCAAGCCGGAAGACAAGCCATGCGATGAGCCAGCGCCAATTGCCCAAGCTCTGCTGTCCTCTCCGTGTCAAAATGTTATCCTTCGATTAATGAGTGTTTTACATGCAAGACTAAATGGCAAAGCGTAGGCCGTTGTCTCTCCACTGCTGGATGAATTCATCCCTCTCGACACTGTCGCCCATCGCCTATGGTCCGGCGATGCCGCGATCCGACCTCGTGGCTCCATCCCCGCAACTCATCCCGCACCGTGTGGCCGTCATCGCTGGCAGATTTGTTCGGCGAGAGTGGAGAGTTACATCGGCATGACCCGGCCAGCGTCCTCCTTGCCTTTCTCAAAGAATCAGACGTTCATTCTGATTGTGAAACTTCTGATTCTGGTCAAGAAATTTCCATTCGGTCCCTACCCCCAACCCTGCCTTGGTTAGAAAAGGAACCTAATATACCTTAGTGGTGCCGTGGTGGCGAGCTGTTAACTGCCTCACCTGGTATACAGGAGGTCGTGGGTTCGATCCCTATCCCGACCCTGACATATGCTGCATATTTGGAAGTTTGCGTGTCTCTCTCTCTCCATGTGGTCGCATGGATTTTTTCTCTCCGGGTCCTCCGGTTTTCTCTCCACATTTAGAAACATGCGTTTTAGAATATTTGGCCGCTATAGATGTCCACATGGCAAGCCAACTTTGTTGAGCTTTTGTTATAACCAATTGGCTTCTAAAAAAAGAGCTATATAGCTCAGTGGGCCTTACCTGGTAAACTAAAATAGTTTCTTAGTTTTTTTAAATAGCCCACACTTGGGAAGACTAAATACCCATAGGGCGCAACTGCTGGATTTTGTAAACTATACATGCGTGTTTGTACGTATGTATGTTTGCCCTCTGTCATGATCGCGGTTTCGGATTAAATTAAACGAGTTTGCATTTG